CACCACCACCACCACCACCACCACCCCCCACTTGTCTTTCATTTTTGTGTCTTGTTTTAATTTAAGACAGGGTCTCACATGAGAGCTCAGGCTGGTCTGAGAGCAGTCTTCCTGCCTCAGTCTCGCAGGTGCTGGCACACAGGTGTGGGCCGTCAAGCCCAATTTTGTAGTGGTTGGGTTTTTATCATTTGTTTTTTACTCTTTTGGTTCTTTGGAGGCCCACCACCCAGTTCCCAAATAAATTCACTGAGACTTAATTCTTCCTTATGAATGCTGGCCTTAGCTTGGCTTGTTTCTAGCTAGCTTTTCTTAACTGGAATTATCCCATCTACCTCTTGCCTTTGACCTTTTATATTTATCTATTCTCTATTCCTTTCTTTACTTCTTACTTTTACTCCGTGGCTTGCTGTGTAGCTGAGTGACTGGCCCCTGATGTCCTCATCTCCCCTTTTTCTTGTTCCTCTATCTTCTTTTCCCAGATTTCTCCTCCTATTTATTCTCTCTGCCTGCCAACCCTGCCTGTCCTTCCTCCTACCTAGCTATTGGCTCTTTATTAGACCAATCAGGTGTTTTAGACAGGCACAGTAACACAGCTTCACAGAGTTAAACAAATGCAACATAAAAGAATGCCACACATCTTTGCATCATTAAACGGATGTTCCACAGCATAAACAAATGTAACACATCTTAAAATAATATTTCACCACACAGTTTCCTAGCCTTTTAGTCCTGTTTCCTAAAGCCAGAGAGAAGGCCTCCTGAGACTTTCTTTTGACCAGAGTAAGCCAGCTGCCTGGCCTTCCTACGTTGTTCTGCCTGCCCTGAACAAGTTGGTCCTAGCCCTACTGTGTCTTTCTCTGAGTTGCTAGTGAGTACATATCTTTCCTGCAGGGGAAGAAAGCATTCTCCTTTGTCCTGAATTCTCCTAGTCCCCACATTTTTATTGTAGGGAGATTAGGTCATATTTAACACAAGATACTGTGTGCCTGGCCACGGCATGCTGCCCCCAGCCTCTGTGAGCCTGTCTGCCCTGGGAGATGGATTGTTAGCAAGTAACTTAGGCTGGGTCTGACAGTGAAAGAAGATCCAAAGGAGGACCAGCTTCCCATTGGCAGCAGATGGAGGGCTCAGCATTGGGAGGGTAGGCAGAAGCTGCTGCTCAGTAGGCAGGGACTGGGATGAGTGTGCATGCGCTCTCCCAGCTCTGTGTATAAGCGCAGGGTGAATGATAGTAACGTGGGTAGCTCTGTGCTATGACATGCTGTACAGCTGGCGGAATGACAGGTCAGGACGCACCAGGGTGTCCACACTGATAGATTAAGAGCTGGCCTGTAATGAGGCGTAATAATTCAGGTCTGTGCCTCTGGCCCTCCACCCATGGCTCTGCCTGATTGCGCTCTGCTATCTCATGTGTCTGGACAGTGGACAGGCCTGATTACCTCTTTATTCCTAGTTTTCTGCGCAGTCTATGATGTGTGAAGTTAAGGTGCAGAGGACACGATGGCTCAGGCCTGAGGCAGCCCCCCTCAGCCTTTCCATGCTCTCATCCCCACAGGTGCCCCTCTATGACCAGTGGGAAGACGTCATGAAGGGGATGAAGGTGGAAGTCCTCAATAGTGATGCCGTGCTCCCCAGCCGGGTGTACTGGATCGCCTCTGTCATCCAGGCAGCTGGTGGGTGTTCCTCTGCTCAGCGCAGGGTCTGGAATTTGTCTACAGAGCGACATATCTAGTGGGTGGGTAGTGTCCTAGGGTGAAATGGGTTCCATGAATCAAAACCTCACCCACTAGCTTGCTTTCCCCTTCTTGGATATTCCACTCCCTTAGATGAGAGTGCAGAACTGGGCAGACTCAGGGACTAGGGTTTTGTTCTGTTTTGATTTGTAAGGTTTATTCTGGAGATGATGAGGGGGTGGAAGAGTTCACCAGACCAGAATGCTTTCCAAATGTGTGCCGTGGATTTTGTTTTGTTCTATCAGGGACCCACATGTCTGCAAGGAGTCCCCAGCAGAGGAAGTAGGAAACCTGACTGGGTCTAGAGAAGGAAGGAAGGAAGCCTGAGAACGTACCTTCCCCTCTCCTTCCCCTCACAGGCCCCTTGTCCTTCCTTTCAGGGTACCGAGTGCTGCTCCGATATGAAGGCTTTGAAAACGATGCTAGTCATGACTTCTGGTGCAACCTGGGGACTGTGGATGTCCATCCCATTGGCTGGTGTGCCATCAACAGCAAGATCCTGGTGCCGCCGCGGAGTGAGTTCAGAAAGCTCCCGGTGCCTGGTGTGTGTGTGTGTGTGTGTGTGTGTGTGTGTGTGTGTG